GTAGTCTGGTAAAATTTATCGACGTTTAAGACGTACTTGTAGCTTCCATCACCAGGGCAATGGTTACTCATCATTTTAATGATGAGGCAGCAAGCGCCTCAGAAACGTCGGTAAACTTCTACCAGACTCTACGATGTGACATTTCAGAACAAATTGAACTTTGTTTTCGCTGCAGTGAGAACCTGAAATTATACAAAAATGTCAAGATAGTATCAATGTCACGCCAAGCAGCGTAACCTAATTTACGTTGTGAAGTTGGCTAACTTGCGTATCAATAATATCGAGATACCAACTTCACCTCCTTTTCACCAGAACCCACAAATTAAGCTGCGATGGGACCAAAACACGAAATGATATAATGACCCACGTGTACATTTGTATGTACGGGGTTGAACTAGTTCTGCTATGATGCCTAGGTACCACGATGGCGTTTGCATGCAATGTTACACAGGAACACAGAGCGGCCATTGCAAGGCACGTGGAACTTTTTCCGCTATTGGGGGGGGGGGGTAGCAGTTTATACCGCATGGGATCACCACAATAATTTTTAACGGAGAATAAATATCACAGTGTGCAATATGCTGTGAAGTGCTAGAAAATGTCATTCGAAATAAATAAATAAACGAATTTGATTTAGTAATCGCTACTTATTTACTAACAAAATATCTTTATGAAATGACAAAATCGAACATACAGAAATGTATCCCCCTCACCCGGTTTAGAATGAACCTAACTTCCGTCGTTTTCAACCTGGCAAAATCATGAGAAGAAAAAAAAAGTATTTTCAGACGTGAGTTTCAGGGTAATTCTTTCCTCGACATGTACGTCCTTGGGGTCCGCTGTCCGGTAGATATTACAGAATCAGACAATGCCAATTCTACAGGTCACATTTGTACCTCCATCGTCACAGCATATTTGGACGAATGCCAATTAATTAATGGCTAAGATAAGAATAAAAGAGGGCCAGAAATTAATTTTCATTTAACAACAACAAATGTCTCCTCCAAAGCCACGTCCTCTCTTACGTGGCCGCTTTGTTCGCCAAAGCCCTTTGCCCCGTCTATATACCTTGCTTGTGGTATACACACGTACAAGAGTAGCGAATCTTACTAACTCGGCGTGGACTTCATACCACCGGACGTCAGCCCAATCGGGTACAATTTCCTATCGCAAATAATACCAACAATATCGGGAAATTATCCCACTATACGCCATGTAGGCGCTTGGTGTGGGGGGAGGAGGCGGTTTATAGCTCCTACTCATTCC